TCGGGTAGTCGGAGTTTCCGCCGGAAGAGGGGCCTTTGCGGGGGATTCCTCGGCGGAAAAGGCGGGGCCGCGGGCCGCCGCCTCGCCATCGCGCGTGGGGGCGTCTTCGGATTCCTTCGTTTCGTCTTCGTCGTCGTCGTCGTCGTTGTTGTCTTTCGCGAACTCCCACGGGAGGCGGTGGTCGAGGTCGAACAAGTAGCGATCGTCCTTCCATCGCTCCAGCGCGGGCCAATCCGCAATCGCGTCGAGGATTACGCAGGGGCGGGACTGGAAGACGAACTCCTGCATAAACGCCTGCTCGGAGATGACCCGAACCTCCTCGTTGACGTCGTCCGAGTTCACGCTAAAGCGCTCATCATACGGGCCCTCCATCACTTGGTCCACCCCAGACATTTCCCCAGCTTTCGTAGGCCCCGCCGTGGCGTTGATCGCATCGGGAGGGACATCTTCGCAGCCTTTGCTGAGGCCTTTCACGCGAATTCGCTCGATGCTCCACTGCCGTAGCGCCCGAGCCGTACTCGCGAAGGCGTCCGCCGCCGTCGCGTGAGGGGTTTGGCTCTCCCTTTCATTTTTTATGTCGAACGAATCGACCTCTTTTGAAGAATACATTTTTGGTGTGTGTGTGTGTGTTTTCCTTGATACAATGATATAACTAACTCCGTATTGATATCCTTTTCTGTCGTCATCGGCGTCGTAGGGTGATTGGGGGGAAAAAAAAGGTATCGAATGCGTGAATAAAGAGAGAAAAAAGGGTATGCAACTTAGTTGCATCACAACACCCAATACATCCGCACAATAAAAACTATAAAATACTGAACTGAAAACATAAATAAATATATAAATAAATATAAAAATAAATATATATAGCTATATTATCACATATATTCCCTATAATACAATTCATTGAAGGGGGAGATAATTATCATATTTTACTAGAATTTGTCAAGCATTACCAGTTTTATGATGGTTCTCTTTTAATTAAAAAGATATATATATATGCAAACAAACAGTAGTGGGCCTATCTATATATATATATATATATCGATATAGATATCCATACATCTAAACGTGAATACACATCTACAGCTTCTTTCCTGTTGACCAAAAAAATTTCACCTACGGAGGTTAATGTATGTACACAAGCAAATTAAAGAAAAATAGAAAAATTAAAAGCGTCTTGTTCAAGCAAAATAGATACGTAAACATCTTCTAAAAAGGGAAGGCTCCGAGTATGTGAAGACAACAACATGATAGTCCGATTGAATTTTGGCATCGGAGGGGGAAAAAAAAAATAAACCGCGTAAGTTCCTTATATTTGAGTAGTACTGAACTGGTTTGTCTCCACAAACAGGAAGAGGAGAAGCAGCAGCAGCAAAGAAGGACCCCTTCGGGCGCCGAGGCTGGTGTGGATGGCCCGGGGGATTCGGATCCGCCGCTCGCTACTCGAGGGTGCAGGGCAAGGCCGGGGAGCAGCGCAGGGTCCCCTCTTGGGTGTAGAAGCGGACGTTGCGGAAGGCCCCATCGCAGCTGACGCAGTCCAGGACGACTTTGCGCGTCGGCCCGGCGGCGGCCTCGGGCGGGGCGGAGAGCCCGGCCCGGGGCCGCGGGGCGTT